CAGAAAATCTCCGGTCTCATATCTCTTTTCAAATACGCAGTGGTCGTCCTTTGTCTTTACAAACTTGTGTGTTCAGTCATGAAAGATTCAAACTACTTGTACCACTGCCGAGGTGCTTGCTTCAAGCCATATAGATTCTTCTTCAATCGACATACCAAGTTTTCTTGTTCAGGAGCTTGGAACCCTTCAGATTGCTCCATATATATCTCTTCTTCAAGGTCACCATGAAGAAATGCCGTCTGCACATCCATTTGCTCTACTTCAAGGTACATTGATGCCGTCACGACTAATACGGTTCGGACTGAAGTCATCTTCACCACGGGAGAGAAGATCTCCTCAAAATCAACTCCTTTCTTCTGATTGCAGCCTTTCACCACAATTATGGCCTTGTATCTCGGCTTCTGGCCGTTCTCTTCTCTTGATTTTGTAAACCCACTTGTTCTTCGGAGCTCATCTTCCTTCAGTAAGCTCGGTCAGCTTATAATTCTGATTCTTGTGTAGATTTCATCTCGTGTTGCATTGACCTTTCCCATTCTTTCTTATTTGAGCTCTTCACAACCTCATCATAACTCCGAGGTTCACCATCTTCAGCAATAACGATGTATTCATCAGGTGAGTACCTCGTAGAAGGTCGTTTCACTTGTGTAGAGAGTCTGGATTGTTCTTCAGGTTGAGAATCCAGCTCATCATGCACGAAAGCTCGACATCCAAATACCTTCAAATGATCGTAGGCTGCTTTCCGACATGTTTAGACTTTTTTTTGAAATTTCTCCTTCAAGTTGCCGTGATGGTGAGAGGTTGATCATGTCAACAACAGTTTTGACGTTTTCTCCCCATAATGATTTAGGCAATCCGGTATTGGATAGCATACTTCAGACCTTTTCTTCAGTAGTCCGGTTCATCCTCTCAGCAAGTCCATTTAGCTGAGGTGTCTTTGTTGGGGGGTGTCTTTTCAAGTCGGATCTCGGCCGCTCTACAGTAAGCATCAAATAGGCCGCAATACTCACCACTATTGTCAGATCTGATCAACCACCTTTAGTTTTTTGCCAGTCTCTCTTTCCACCATTGCATGAAATTCCTTAAAGGATTGGGGTACCTTTCTTTAGTATTCAACAAATATACCCACATTTTGCGGGAATGATCATCGATGAATGAAACAAAGTATTGAGCTCCTCCAAGGGATCTCTCCGGCATGGAGCAAACATCAGTATGGACGAGGTCTAGAATATACTTGCGTCGTTTGGGTTGATCCCTTCCTACGAAAGAAACCCGGTGCTGCTTTCCAATTAGGCAGTGTGTGCAACTCTCCAGTGTTTGGCCTTTCAACCCAGTCAATAATTTTTTCTTGTTCAGAATTTGGAGCCCTTTCTCACTCATGTGGCTGAGGCATTAACCAAGTTTTCCTTAGCCAGCTTTCATCTACCACTACCGAAATAGTTCACTAACACGACATCATCAAGCTTGCCTACCGAGATTAGGTTCAATCGCATGTCAGGAACATGCCTTACATCTTTCAACACAAGTCAGCACCTGACATCCGTGGTCAAGGTTATATCTCCGACTAAGGGTGTTAACGGGCCGAGCTGAGCTTTAGTCTTAAAAGGCTAAGTCTGTGTTTAAATGTGTTAGCCTGACCAAGGCTGTTACCTGTTATGAATATAATTATCAGTCTGTAGCCTTACTAATTTACAAAAAATAAAAGCCTGGTTTAGCCTGTTAGAAAAATAAGACAACAAAAAATTATCCAAACAGAATATACAATCAACAACACTAGTAATTTCATAAATATTCATAAATTCAATGTACATCTAAACAACATAATATAGAACAAAATTATTCAAAAAGTCTGTTTAACTAATAAAATGAGGTGAAATGGATTGAGGAGAGAGGGCTACTAAAAATAGTATAAAAAATATAAAATAAAAATAAAAATTAATATATTAGGCCAACCTGGGAAGCTCTAAGGCTGAGATTTTGAATTGGGGTTCAATCGCATGTCAGGAACATGCCTTACATCTTTCAACACAAGTCAGCACCTGACATCCGTGGTCAAGGTTATATCTCCGACTAAGGGTGTTAACGGGCCGAGCCGAGCTTTAGTCTTAAAAGGCTAAGTCTGTGTTTAAATGTGTCAGCCTGACCAAGGCTGTTACCTGTTATGAATATAATTATCAGTCTGTAGCCCTACTAATTTACAAAAAATAAAAGCCTGGTTTAGCCTCTTAAAAAAATAAGACAACACAAAATTATCCAAACAGAATATACAATCAACAACACTAGTAATTTCATAAATATTCATAAATTCAATGTACATCTAAACAACATAATATAGAACAAAATTATTCAAAAAGTCTGTTTAACTAATAAAATGAGGTGAAATGGATTGAGGAGAGAGGGCTACTAAAAATAGTATAAAAAATATAAAATAAAAATAAAAATTAATATATTAGGCCAGCCTGGGAAGCTCTAAGGCTGAGATTTTGAATTGGAGTCTGAAGTCTTTTTATTAAACGAGTTTTCATATAAGTCTAAGCCTGGTCCAACAACCAATTTTAAACATGTACGCTCAGGTCTTCATGAGCCGAGTCAAAAGCCCCTGAAAGGCCCCTATTTCGTTTACTACCCCTATCACCGACACCAACAATCTTGCTAGTCACCTGATTTTCCATCTTCATGACTCTAAAATCACCACCTCTGTAAGAAGAGAAAAAACCTTTGTGTGGAATGACATGAAAAGAGGCACCAGAGTCAACAATCTAGGTGCAATCATCTTATGTAACATTCAAATATTTGTCTTCACCGAGGAGAAATATCTCAGCATCTAAGTTGGCAGCCATAATTGTGGTGTTCTTGTCTTCTTTTTTCTTTGGAATAATCTAATATGGCTTCACAGTGTCGTGTGTCGTTCTTCACATCTTTCTGTAGAGTCTTGCAGTCCGACTTCTTGTGGCCGGGTTTCCCACAAAAGAAACACTTGAACTCATATTTTGGCCTAGATCGGCCTCTGGACTTGTCACGAGTCCGACTCTTGCTACGACCCCGAACGTCAGACCTTCCTCGATTTTCGGTCACGTTTACCTCAGATGTGTCGGTTACACATCGTTCCCTTCCCCTGGATTCATCATTCAGGAGGCTGTCTGTCACAACATCCATCTTCAATTTTCCATCTGGAACCGAGTTGCTTAATGTCACCACCAGAGTATTCCAGCTTTCTGGCAGCGAGCTCATCTGCAGCAAAGCCTGCATCTCGTCATCAATTTTCATCTCAGCCTTAGACAGCTGATTCTTAATACCTTTTAGGTGTCGAGGTGTTTAATAATGCTCATACCGTCCTTGTATTCGAGCTTTATAAGTCGACGAACCAGGTGTGCTTTGTTCTTGAGAGTCATCTTCTGAATCATGGACTCCAGCTTTGTCCATAACTCAGACACGTGCTCAAAGAGACTTTTGTCGATATATTTTTTGATCGTGGTTACCGCCTTCCGACTCAGGATCTCCTACTCTTTATCAGTTTTGCCTTAAGGCTTCTCTTTAAAGATGATGGGCTCGTATAGATCTTTGCAGTGCATATGGTCTTCCATCATTGATCTCCAGTAAGTGAAGTCCGCAGTCAACTTGAACATATCTCAATCATGTGAAATTCCACTGGTCTCCATCTCGTCTCCCTTAGAATCCGTCGAACTCGGGCTCTGATACCACTGTTGGGAACTCGGTTTCCTTAAACTCGGCTAAGAAGCCTTTGCAGAAGTCAAACATCGAGCTATGAGCTCGACTTTTCAATCCAAAGTCGGCCTGTATCAACAGGTCGGCCAGTGCAGCGGAAAAACGGAAAACTTAGAGGAGAGAGAGAGAAGAAGAACACAACAAATATTAATGTGGAAAAACTTTCTCCAATGTGAAGAAGTAAAAATCCACGGGATACTGTCCAGAATCAAACTTCCACTATGAAAATTGAAAATAATGGGTTACAGAAGATCAAACTTCACCAATGGTGGTACACTCAAACCTCACCGACAATGGTGGTTTTCTCTCAAACTTCCCTAAAAAGGTAACACTCAAGTTTCTCCCTAGAGGTGCTCTCAAAATCAAAACGGTGATGCTTTTCACTCAAAACCCTCAAAATCTCACAAGCCAACCTTTTCCTCTTACTACCTTCATCCCACAACTAATGTGTTTATAGAGGAGAAAGAAGGTTTAGGGTTTTTCAAATTCCTAAAGGCGAGCTTTGGGCTTAGCATTAAGGAGGAAGCCCAACACACCACACAATGATCCAACAGTCACTGCCACTGTTTTCTCGCCAACATTCACCGCTATCACCTTGTTGGTGCTGTTTTGAATTAATATGCTCATGTCAAAAAAGTTGGTGAACTTATTCTCCGTTGGCTTATGGTTACATTCGATTCCATGCCACAATCCGAAAGCTTGGAGCTAGAGATAAGGATTTTTGTTTTTGAGTGACTCTGGAACCATTTTGTGGTTGGTTGAAACCAGTTCCCAAGTCACTCAAAAACAGTGAATTGGATAAAACTGTATTTAATAGGTTTGGTTCTTTTTGGATCGGTTCTTGGTGGTTTTCGCTCACACCTAATTTAGACACACCGATCTCATCAAATATTTCTCATATCCTCCTTCCTTAAGTATCAACTTTCTTTGCCACTTGTGTCTTAAATTAACATCATGGTTCCTTGAAGCAACTGTAGAAGGGAGACAATCTGGACTCTCAAACGTTTCTAAGATTTGAGCTTCATGCTGCTCTCTCCCCTAACACGAGTCGTGTAAATCTAGCTCAGAAACAGGACAACACTTTTTCTGCATTGCAAGGCTGACACCTTAATAGTAAAATTTAGTTTAGTGTTATATGGACTAATTTACTCTCTTGGTTAGACATTAAATCTCTTAATTGTAAAAGTTACTTCTTTAGCAGCTTAAATGTTCCTAAGTTTCCTTGTTATTGTTAGCTCTTATATAGTTTTGCTGAAGGTATTTGATTTTATTCGTAGCCCGCTTGTTGGAAGCTTTGGAATTCCTTGCTTTCCAGAAAAAAAGCAAATATTTTATGGTCACCATGTTGTGGATCAGCTTCGATTGTATAAGCTACGTGACATGGTACAGTATCTATCTTTTTCGTTCATATTCATGGCATAATTTTGTTAAAACTTATTAAATGGTTGGTTTATTTTCATCTATTTGTTAATCTGATTTTGGTTGTACAGAAAGATGCTGTGTCTACTTCACATTGTTCTCAGCCTAATAATATTGAGTATGATATGGCCATAGAATGGTGCTTACTACAAGAAAAAGCGGACAAATCATGGAGAAGATTGTACGAGGTATACAGTTTTTGGGTAATTTGCCCCGAATCATTTTCAATTCTGCTTTATTTTATTGAAAATTTATCTTTGATTAAAATCTTTTTAATTCCCTAAGCGACAAGGCAAGGAGTTGAGTAAACTAAAAGCTAAGCTGAAGTCTATAAAATCTGAATGATCTTCAATGGCTCTATATCCTTGCTTTTTTTGTTTGTAAGTTCTCTACTTTCTCGATAAAGTTTTGAGATCACTTTGTGTGATCACCAGAGTTTTTGGATTATGCTTTTGACTTTGGGTTGAGATCACTTTTTGCAGCGTGGTTGCAAGGATTGAGATCACTTTATGCATCAACTAGAGTTTTTGGATTATGCTTTTGACTTTGGGTTTCTAGAGTTCATGAAATCAAAGATTTTCTGCTTCCGGTAAGTATGAATTTCTACTAATATCTACATTCTATTTTCGGTTGAATCACATCGTTGTTTGTTTCCTCTCTTCAGGAAAATCCCTTTTGGTTCCCTCTGTCCGGTTTGTCACTCCTTATAATAGTTGTGGTCAGCTGCGTCTTTGTCAATATTTTGAATGCAGGTAGACTTATTTTAATCTTCAAGGTAATAGATATGTTCAAAAAATAGTTATTTTAAAATTCTTACTAGAACTTTTTTTTTAAATGTGCGACCTCTGTTGACTTCACTACTGCGTGAATCTCGTATAAAACTCGCATGAATAGGATCTCCCAAGTTCAGGATAGATAGGTTGTGAAATCCGTTTAACTCAAACCTTCAATTTGTCAAAAACCCTTGTTTGTGGATGAAACAAAAACTAGTGCCCAAGACTATGTCACCACAACTAAGCTCTCATCGTGATTGATAATCAGTTTTGAGTACCTAATCTACATTAACCTAGTTTAGCTAATAATGCCTAAAAGAAAACCCTCTAAATTTTCATTCAATAATGCATAATGTTTGATAAAGCCAACAAAATTTTACTTATTTAATGTCGTAGGAAAAAGATTCGATGTACTCCATCTACTTTGCATGTTGCTTGTTGAGCTTCTACTTGCCTTTTAGGTGCTTTAGTGTCTCCTGATCGGTGTGAATAATGAACTCCTTGGCAATGTTAACAATGGGGCATTAGTTAAGTCTTTGAAGGCCCGAACTTGTGCCCCCTACCTGATTCCCATGCTTTTATTTATAATCACTGGCACTGGCGTGGCGATGCAATTATGAAGTCTTTGATGAACCGTTTATGGAAATTGGCTAAGCTGTGAAAGCTATGCACCTCTCTTAACATTCGTATTGCATTCACAATTTTTGCATCCGCCTATACGTCATTCGCACCGATAACAAAGCCTAGAAACACAGGCTAATATATTCTTTTAGGTCTTGGCTATAAATGAGAATATCATTGAAATAAAATATCACAAACCTACTAATGATAGCACGTGACCCATGATTCATTGATTGAATAAAGATGCTCGGTGCATTTATAAGATGTAATGATATAGCCTCGCATACAACCCTTGTTTGGTCTTAAAATTTGTTTTTCATTCATCACTCCATCATAATCTAATGGTAAAGTGATTGGTCTGAACAACGAACTCCTTGGCAATGTTAGCAATGGGGCATTATTTAAGTCATTGAATGCCCGTTTTGACGCCCCCTCCGGCAATGGCATGTGGATGCTATTGTGAAGTCTTTGATGAACCATATGTGGAAATTGGGCAAGTTATGAAAGCTATGCACCTTTCCAACATTCGTAGGTGTTGGCCATTCTCGAATTGTATTCACCGTTTCTTTGCATCCACCTATATGTTATGGGGATTAGTGTTTATTCTTTTGAAAGGCATAGAATTGTGTCATTTTAGTCAAAATTATTTTGTTTTATAATGAAAGAATCAGTTATATAATAGAAATTATGGTGGGAGAAAATGAGAGATTTTTTAATTTAAATATTAAATAAAAAATAGGTTATATTTATCTTATGTTGCATAAGATAAACAAGCTTTTCACACACACAGTGGATGTGGACTACTTTTTTTTATCTCCTTTTACATATGGATCCCACTTATAATTTTATTTCTATAACATGAGATCACCATTTTCCTGCGACGTAAGATAAATATAACTCATAAAAAATAGCAGTTTTATCTAAAATGATTGTTATTTAAAAGGATAAATATTTTTTCCTATGTTATTTGCACTAATTATAAAGTCTAGAAACACATTCTAATTTATTTTTAGGTCTTGGCTATAAATGAGAATATAATTAGAATTAGGGGTGTTCGTGGTCTGGATTGGATCGGTTTTGCAAGCAAAAATCATTCGATCTAATTCATTTGGTTTGATCATGTAATCATCCATTCAGTTTTGATTTTTTTTAAATCTGATTCGATCCAATCCAATTTTTTTCGGTTAGGATTGGATCGGTTTTCGGTGTTTTGAAAATCCTAAAATTTGTTTCACGATTATTGTGCAAATAACATCTTTTGTGTATATTGGCTTTGTAATTTTTTTTAAATACAAAAGCATCAGATAATATAGTTTTTTTTGGACATATGAGATATGGAGCTTTACATAGATGAAATTTTGTTGATGAGATGTGACTAGGTTTTTTCTTGAGTTTAGTTGATGAGTTAATAGGTCTTGGGTTTAGAAATTTTTGGGCTATGATTGAGGAAAGACCCAAGTAGGTAGAGGAAAATTAATATATTGGATCGATTTTCATCTACCAATTCAAAAATCGATCCAATCCAATTAAAATATGTGATTTTTATTCGATTTTTGATTTATTCGGTTATCGATTTTTTGGTTCGGTCATCGCGGTTTGGATTGGTTGATGAACACTCCTAATTGGAATAAATTGTCACAAACTTACCAATGAAAGCACGCAACCCATGATTCGTTAAGTGAATAAAGATGCTCGGTACATTTGGAAGATCTAATGACATAACCTCTCATGCAACCTTTGTTTGGTCTTAAAAATTATTTTTCATTCATCATCCTCCATCATCCTAATCCAATGGTAACATGATCAGTGTGAATAACGAACTCCTTGGCAATGTTAACAAATAAGTATTAATCTCTACTTGAATCCCATGTTTTTATTCATAACCTCCATTGATGGCATGGCGATGCTAATATGAAGTCTTTGATGAACCATACATGAAAATTGTCCAAGCAGTGAAATCTACACACTTTTCCAACGTATGTGGGTGTTAGCCATTCTCAAATTGCATTCACCTCTGCACTAATAACAAAGTATAGAAACATAAGCTAATCTATTCTTTTAGGTCTTGGCTATAAATGAGAATATCATTGAAATAAAATGTCAAAAACCTACTAATGATAGCATGTTACCCATGATTCATAATTAATAAACATGCTCGATGCATTTATAAGACGAAATGATATAGCCTCGCATACAACTCTTGTTTGGTCTTAAATTTTGTTTTCCATTCATCACTCTCCATCCTAATCTAATGGTAAAGTGATCGATCTTAACAATGAACTCCTTCACAATGTTAGCTATAAGGCATTAGTTAAGTCATTGAATTCTCGTTCTTATGCCCCTTCCAACAAAGGCACGACGATGCTATTGTGAAGTTTTGATGAGCCGTTTGTGGAAATTGGGCAAGTTGTGAAAGTTACGCACCTCTTCAGCATTCCTAGGTGTTGGCCATTCCTGAATTATATTCACCTTTTTTTTTTGCATCCACCTATATGTTATAGGTATTAGTGTTAATCTTTTTAAAGGACATATAATTGTGTCATTTTAGTCAAAATTATTTTGTTTTATGGTGAGAGAATCAGTTATACAATAGAAATCGTAGTGGGAGAAAGTCATAGGTTTTTTTAATTAAATATTAAATAAAAAAGAGTAGTTTTAACTAAAATGACTACCATTTAAAAGGACAAACATTTTTTCCTATGTTATTTGCACTAATAATAAAGTCTAGAAACACATGCTAATCTATTCTTTATGTCTTGGCTATAAATAAGAATATCATTGATATAAATTACCACAAAGCTACCAATGAAAGCACGCAACCCTTGATTCGTTAAGTGAATAAAGATGCTCGGTGCATTAGTAAGATCTAATGATATAGTCTCTCATATAACCCTTGGTTGGTCTTAAAAGTTATTTTCCATTCATCATCCTAATCCAATGTAAGGTGATCAGTGTGAATAACGAACTTCTTGGTATTGTTAACAATAAGGCATTAGTTAAGTCATTGAATGCCTGTCCTTGTGCCCCTACTTGAATCCTATGTTTTTATTATAACCTCCGTAAATGGCATGACGATGCTACTGTGAAGTCTTTGACGAATCATACGTGGAATTTGTCCAAGCAATGAAATCTACACATTTCTCCAACATACGTAGGTGTTAAAAATTGCATTCACATATATGTCATCCACATTAATAACAAAGCCTAGAAACACAGGCTAATATATTTTTTTAGGTCTTGGCTATAAACAAGAATATCATTGAAATAAAATATCACAAACCTACTAATGATAGCACGCGACCCATGATTTATTGATTGAATAAAAAAATGCTCAATGCATTTATAAGACGTAATGATATAGCCTCGCATACAACCCTTGTTTGGTCTTAAAATTTGTTTTCCATTCTTCACTCTCCATCATAATCTAATGGTAAAGTGATTCGTGTGAACAACAAACTCCTTGGCAATGTTAGCAATAGGACATTAGTTAAGTCATTGAATGCCCGTTCTTACGCCCCCTCCGGCAATGGCATGTGGATGTTATTGTGAAGTCTTTGATGAACCATCTGTGGAAATTGGGCAAGTTGTGAAAGCTACCCTCTTCGTTCCCGAATTGCATCCGTCTATATGTTATAAGATTAGTGTTTGTCATTTTAAAAAACATAAAATTGTGTCATTTTAGTCAAAATTGATTTGTTTTTTTGGTGAGAGAATCAGTCATACAATAGAAATCACGGTAGGAGAAAGTGAGAGGGTTTTTTAATTTAAATATTAAATAAAAAAGAATAGTTTTAACTAAAATGTCTATCATTAATAAGAACAAACATTTTTTCCTATGTTATTTGCACTAATAATAAGGTCTAGAAACACATGCTAATATATTCATTTATGTCGTGGCTATAAATAAGAATATCATTGATATAAATTACCACAAACCTACCAATGAAAGCACGCAACTCATGATTTGTTAAGTGAATAAAGATGCTCGTTGCATTAGTAAGATATAATGATATAGCCTTTCATATAACCCTTGTTTGGTCTTAGAAATTATTTTCCTTTCATTACCCTCCATCATCCTAATCCAATGGACGAGATCGGTGTGAATACAGGCAAAGGAAATGGGCACTTACACTATAACTATAGATAGACAACTAGAACAATTTCAAGACTTGGCAATGATACCACAGGAAATGGTAGGATAGAAGTTTATAGAGCAAAGCAAGTAGGGGCTGGGTGGATTACCTTTGGGAGCTAAGTCGAAGATCTTGGTGGTCTTGTGAGATAAACTGCAAGCTAAAGAGCGTGGAGGTTCGAGTCCTCTTCAAGGCATAATATTGAGATCTCTTATTGAATTGGAATAAGTTCGGCAGCGGATCACGAAATCCTTCTTGGTAATGTTAACAATAAGGCATTAGTTAAGTCATTGAATGCCCGTTCTTGCCCCCTAATTGAGTCCCATATTTTTATTTATAATCTTCGTAAATAGCATGATGATGCTAATGTGAAGTCTTTGACGAACCATACATGGAAATTGTCCAA